TACACGATCATTTTTGTATTTGAATAAATATTTTCTTGGATGCAAAACCTGAGAAATAATTTTTTTTGCACCGTTGGTATGATAAATTTCACAGAAACGAAGAAAATAGGTTTTTATTAACGAGAAAAGTATTTTAAACCCATACAGATTTTTTACGAAAATTGTCCGCAAAAAATTTTGCAACTAATATATTTTAGTTTGCGGGTCACAAAAAAGGGTTTCGCGGGCCGGATGCGGCCCCCGGGCTGCCAGTTGGAAACCACTGGTCTATATAATGTAAACGGCCTTAATTAGGTACAATAAGCTGAGAAACGGACTAGTAAATTCTAATAAATAAATAAATGAATAAATAAATATATTTATAAGTAAATAAATAAACAATAAATGAATAAACAATAAATCAATAAACCATAAATAAATAAATATGTTTATAAATAAAGAAATAAACAATAGATAAATTAGCAAATAAATAAACAATAAATAAATAAAAGACAATCAGATTTTATCTATTCAAACAATAACAAATAGTAAATTTTAAAAAGTTTAAAACCAGATAATATTGAGTAATCTATACAAAAATGCTAATTGCATAATTTTATAGCTTCACATTTTTAAGAAAAATATAATATAGAAGTTTTAAAAATTAAGAAGAAATACTTCTCTTAATATAACAACGCGGTGCCTTTATTTAAAGAAATTATTTTTTTTAAAACGTGTACTGCTTTGAAATGGTACTATATCATAAAAATTTCGCAAAAAAAAAAAAAAAAAAATAAAAGAGGAAACGAGAATGTGTCAAGAGGTAGAAAGGAAATGTCATGGAGGAGACTTAGTTAAAACAACTTAGGTATTTTCCACATTTCTGATTACAGAAAATAAGTGCGATTAAATAACGGTGATGTGTAATCAGATTCATCACAATAACTCACATACCTGTTACCGAAAAACGCTACTATGCATATTACCTTGATAATCTTCTTGATTGACTGGGATATTCCTCGAAATTACAAATTTTTCGCAATTTATGTAGGCAAATGGTGAGAAAACGATTTCCGAATCGTTCTAGTTGAAACGTTTCTCTTTTTCTGTAAACCAATTTGTTGATCGCTTGACTGCATTTATTAAATTGTTTAGGTATTAAAAAATAACATGTTAATTTACTTAATTATAATAATATTTTAAGCCATTTTTGATAATATCCATTATCAATTATTAATGATTAAAGTTATTAATGATTGATTCTATTTACTAATGTGTTAATTGTTGCTACTTGACTTTTTAGATAACGAAAAATGAATGAATAATATGATGATAGTTTAAGCTTATAGAAACATTGCTGTGGTTTCAGAAAAGATCTCGTTTTCATTTTAACAAATTCCTAGTAGGTGATGTGCAGATTACCGAGGCAGTTAGCAAATTACTTAGGCCAGGGGTTGCCAAACTTTTTTGATCATCGACCTTTACATAATTTTTCGAAATCTCCATCGACCCCCATAAAAGTAATTTCTTGTTAATTAAAATAAAACTCTATTAGATACTGTGTTTGTACATTTATTTTATGATTTTGAACATTTATCCCTCTTTCACCATAT